CACAACACCCCCTCCCCAAAAATAATTACCACTCCCTAACCCTAGGTTAAAATCCTTAACTCAGGGTTAGTTAACCCTGAGTTAAAACTGCGTTGTTCAAAGCTGGGTTAGAGGTGCGGTTAGTTAACCCAGGGTTAAGACATTTAAACCAAGGTTAAATTTGTTTTAAAAATAAATGTAATATAAGAACGCTTTAGATTGGCTGGGAAGTAAGTGCCAAAACTAGGTATAGAATGGGCTAGATGGGAGAAATATTGTCTAACCGGTAAAAGGCAACAGAAATTGAATATTTCAGACATGGATTTAAGCATTTTGAAAGTTTCAAGAAAAAATATTCTTGATCAAAGCAGCCGCAAAGCCATTGAAATAAATCAATTTTGGAATTTTAGGCAGCGCTTGAATAATTAAATTTGAGAACAAAATCCCAGCCAATCAAATAAACTTCGAATTATTTTGGAGTTGAAAAGCATTTTTCAACGCATGCGTGCTTATCCTATAAAACGGAACACGAAAACACTGAGAAATTCTGAAAAAGAAGCAGCGAAGTTGTTTTACTGCTTTTACAGCTTTCAAAAACAGTGTTTTTACTAGGTAATACACTGCGCTGCAAACAGTAGATGTGCAAGAACTTGTGACTGTTCAACAAATGGCAAATGGAAACTTTGTGAAACAGGTGGTGGTACGGCGAATTGTATTTTTTTCTAGAGTTATTTTTCGAGGAAACTTGAGTTGAATGCTTGGCTTTAATAAAACTACAGTCTACAGCTTTGGTGGCGGCAATCGACAAAGAAGTACAAAGATCTCGCGAGGTAAATCCTTTTACTGTACAATGTACGCAATCTTGATTACGGCATTTGTGTTCCAAACTAGCTACGTCTGTCGTCTGTCGGTGTTTCTTTTGGCGTTTTGTAAATTAAGGTACTCTTCCACTGCAGTATCACAATAAAACAGTAAATTATGATGTTCATGCTTAGACCATAGCACTCCAAAATGGACAGAAAGTTGCCGTAACTTTCACTTTAATGCTCGTATATATATTCAAAACCAACTTGTAGGTATAAAATTATTTCAAAGGCTCGCTCATACGGGACGAATAAGAATCTTAATAGTATATATAGACTTAGAATTTACTTTTTGAGGTTGATTTTCCTCCATAAAATCTTTGTACACTGTTTGTTTCACTAAGAGTTTTATAGTCCAGTCAATCTGTGACCAGAGGTCAAAGAAATTGCAATAGAATTTTTTTTCAGTGGTAAAATGTGAGGGAAGGTGTCCTGGTTAACATACTAAAAATAAAAAAAAATCCCTTCGGTGAAACATGGTGAAAATCGAGTTTTTCTTACTTCTACCTATAGAAAACCATTGTGGACAGAATGTTCAAATTTTGAAATCATTTTTAGGCAAATGTAACCTACATTCTTGGAAAGCATAGAGAAAACTAAAATATATATCATTAGACGGTTATATTCAATTTACTGGTCAGTTTGTCATTATTCTACCTCAAAGTTTGAAAAATAGTGCAAAATTTGCACAAAATACAAATTTATGGCACTTTAAATCTTGTATAACTTAATGATCTATATTTTAGTTTTTTTCTAAGCTTTCCAATAATGTAGGTTACATTTGCCTAAAAATGATTTCAAAATTTCAAACATTCTGTCCACAATATATTTTTTTTTTTTTTTTTTTTTTTAATCTTTATTTTGGTAATCCTTAGACACAACAGACGTGTGTCTTTACATGATTTTGGTTACAATTTTAAAATATACTATTTACTATATTTACAATATTAATGTAATAATTTGAGATAATTTATACACATGAAACAAAAACTAAAAATAGTCAAACAGACACCTATTTACAAAGGAACGCTTGAGGTAGGATGAAAGGATGATCACGTTTTCTTTGTCTTTTTTGTCTTTTTTCAGGCAGTAGTTGATGTAAAATATGTTCTCGATTATCTATAATCCCATTGAATAGAATACTGTCTCTTGTCTCAATCAGCTCAGACATTTTATACTCTTTCAGTACATAACCATATCGATACGCTCGCTTAAAAAACTTGTCAATGCGTTCTAAATATTCCTTTTGAAGAGCTGAGCCCCAAATTTCAATACCGTATAAAAACAACGGTAGTATTATTGAGTCAAAAAGATAGCTGAGATGTTCCTTCCGATATCCATACCTTCTAGGTCCCAGCAGCACACATCGTCCTCGAAAGTAACACCTAGCAGTTTTAGCCATTCCTTACGTTCAATACCTTCTATAGGAGCGGATGGCGGCTTAGAAGTTCCACCACTCAGAAGCATCTCCTATGTTTTTGATAAATTTAGAGTCATTCTGTTTCTACTTGCCCAGTTCTCGATGTTCCTCACTTCCATTGTTGCGAAATCACCATTTGACTTTACTGGTGCCCTAACTGTCATGTCATCAGCAAATTTAACCAATACATTAGTTTCAGGTTGTTTGGGTTTAATGTCATCAAACATAAGAGAAAATAGAAACGGGCCAATGACGGTTCCCTGTTGCACTCCCATGTTAATATCTACATATCTTGTTATAATTCCGTCAACCACGACCCTTTGTTTTCGATTCGTCAGAAAACGTATAATCCAATTGATGATATAAGGATTTAGGTTTGTTTGTTTAAGTTTTCCAGTTACGATATCATGCGGGACCGAGTCAAAAGCTTTTCTAAAATCAAAAGATAAAACCCGTACAAACTCGGCATCTTTGTCCAACCATTTCAACCAATGATGTTGACATTTAATAAGGGCTGACGTTGTATTTGTTCCTTTTTTATAGACAAACTGATCATGGCCAATGATTAACTTAGAGTGTTCTAAAATCTCTTCCCTAAAAACAATTTTCTCAAAAAGTCTCATAATGATATTAGTCAATGATATGGGTCTTAGCTGGCTGCAGTCTGATAATGTTGACTCTTTTTGTATTGGGCTAATATTTGCGAGTTTCCAAAGCGAGGGAACGTGCTGTTCATGCAAGGAAAGATTTAATACTTTAGTAAGTACAGGTGCAAGATTGTGAGCGTAGTCTTTCCACAGCCAGTATGGAAGTCCATCAGGGCCTGGTGAAGTTCGTTTTTGTTTTATCATGAACATTTCAACTGTTTGTATATCAACCTTCGGGATTCGAATTTCTTGGGAGATTGTTAAGGGTTGTGGTGGTGTATACTGAGTGTCCGTATTTACGCTTTGAAAATAGGTATTAATAATATTTGGATCGATGGAGGAACTAATTTTAAGGGATTTTATACATGTACTTCTGCCCGTGATTTTATTGACAGTATTCCACCAACCTTTCGCCCCTTGTTTATACTTTTTATTATCATTCGACACAGCACGAATTTGATTATCTCGAATAAGTTTATTTATTCTTTCCTGAAGTTCAGTGTTGGCTCCTCTACTTATTTGTTTGTTTCGTATTTTACATAACTGTTTCACTAATGGGGAAATATAATGTGGGTCACGTGAGGAGGTTTTAATCTTGATTAAAGGAAAACTCTCGTTGAACTTTAAAACAATTTCTTGGTTCAGGAGCAGCACTACTTCCCCAGCATCATTAGCACTATTGACTTTACTCCAGTAGAAAACTTTTAATTTATTCTCCATAACAATCTTTCGGTGGTGCCTAACATCTCTAAAGTAAACATGTTTTCGTTCTGGTCTAGCTTGGAGCATTGGTGTGACCATAACCGCCAAATGATCGGATTCAACTAGACCTTTGAATACAGTGGGTTGTTTCCACAAGTGAGGGAAATTCGTCAAAAACACGTCCAATATTCTAGGACCTCTGGTAGACTTTTTGACCAGTTGTTTTAGGTTATGTTGGTTACAAAGATCTTGTATCCTTAGTTGGTTTATGTCACCAGCGATAATTAACCTAGCATTAGGTTCGGCGAGTAAAATCTGCTCCCAACTGTCCGACAAATGATCTAGAAATTCGGATTCAGAGTACTCTGAGTCAGGTGGGTAATAAACTGCTCTAATATGATATTTGCTGTTTTTGTCTGAATTTCGCACCACAAGCATTCGAAGTTATTTTGCAAAGCAAGTTTTTTAACTTTCCAATCACTTCGGCAAATAATTGCAACACCACCACCCTGTCGACACGCACTGCGATCTTTTCTCACAAAAGTATAACCGCTAGGACAAATAAGACTGGACTGTATTTTCTCTGTGAGTCACGTCTCAGATATTATGCAAATGTCAACATCGTTTGTACTCAATTCAGCATTAAGTGCCGACGCAGCATCTGGTTTGGCCAGTGATCTAGCGTTGATTACCAAACATTTAGGTATAATCTTGGAGACGGGGGGGGGGGCTGGTTTTAAAATTATCACTTGCATCAAGTTGGTGTTACGCTTACGCCTATCTCCCCTCTTATTTGTAATTAGCGCATTCCACATTGTTCTGCCGTTCCGGCAGGAAGTACGTTCTAACTGGTATTTGACGAGCCATTATACACGAACAGAATGTTCCCCTTTATCGGTCCTAGTAACTTTCTGTTGCACAGATTTTTTATTATGATTGTTCGATTGTCATGGTTTGCAACCGACATACTTAGGCCAAAAACCGTCTTGTTCAACTGGCGAACATACAGCTATTGGAATGTTGATCTTAGCAGACAGCGAGCCTCTACGTTGACTGCGAAAAATGGAAATATAGGTTGGAGTAATCTTTCGTTCTTTGAGATAGGAGAGAATTTGGCTCTCGTTCACGTTTTCGGCAATGCCAGTCAGAAAAAAATTTCTTTGTTCTTTTCCGCTTTCGATCAACACCCACGAAGCCGTCAGGATCGCTAGATAACTCCGCGGCTTTATGTTTTAAACTCATGTGGGTATGATTATGTTCATTATTTGCTACAGGCTGTACAGGGTAGTTACGGGTACAGTTAGATGACAGTACTTTAGCATAGGTATTTAGATTTTCTTCTCTTTTAGTATGTTCAACTGTTAAGTCATTTTCAGGTACTGAGTCAACTGTTAATGTTACATTTAAATTTTCTGTAGTGCAATTTTGTAAATCGTTACTAACCTCATTGTTGTTAACAAGATTGGTATGCTCATTAGGTACACTAGGGCAAGTGTCTTTTGTGTTGCAAGTATTCAGATTACCATATTTATCCGCTTGAAATGTTGGCGCTTTCGAAGCTGCACTACAATGATTTGTCTCTTGCCAGTTCGCAAAATCCCGAAGTTGTGTAATCATCGACGCGAGTTGTGCAACACACCCCGATAGCGCTTGAATCGCTTCTCCATTGATCAACTGTCCCTGTTTAAGAGTTTCAATCCCCTCACAAGTACATGATGATTGCACGTTTGATCGCCTCGAGACAGGCGTTTCTGATCTGTCTTCGTCTTGCCCACATATTATTTTACACAACTTTCCCACGATATCGTTTGCTCTCTTCCCGTCGATACTCAGCAAGTTCTTATTCCTTCGCCAAATTATCGTTGCTTCATCTCCAGTGAATAGCTTTTTATCTCCTCCAGGCTGTGACCAAACGCCTTCCAGCTGCAGATCGTCCCTTACAAAATTCTTCAGTGATTGATAATCACCAGTCCATGCTAAGCTAAGCTTTTCACCAAATAATATCGCCATAACCTTATTCGCGTTCAAAGATTATGCGTTCAAAGACTAACCAAGTAAATTATTGATTCATTTATAGTCCATAAACTTTCTTAATAACTAAAGTTGAG